ATATTTCGGACGTGTTCGGATATCCTAACATTTAGATTCCTAATGGTTCTCCCTATATACAATAAATTGCAGGGACATTTCAATAGATAAATTACTCCTTTTGAAAAGCAGGTAAGTTGTTCTTTTAAAATAAAATCAATTTTCGTATGTTCGTTAAGATTCTTTATATGTCTTTTTGGGTTTTTCGTTGTTCTGCAGGCTAGACATGTCCCACATCCGAAATAGCCTTTACTCTGATTTAAAAAATGTGATATATTTTTAGTTGGGCCTTCGCTACTGTGCATTAAAGATCTTTTTAGATTAGTTGCTCCTCTGTAAATAATTTTAGGTCTTGTTGGTAACACATTATTTAGAATCAGATCTTTTTGTAACATGCACCAGTGTTTGTTGATAATTCTATTTATTTTTTTATTATTCCCATTAAAATTGCATATGAAGTGGGCTTCTTTTGTATTTGAATTTTTTTTATGGCGTTTGTAAGTTAATAACTGTTCTCTTGGAGTATCTTGAATTTCTTTCATAGCTCCAATTAGTTTTTCCTCTTCATAGCCCTTTTCTAGGAACTGTTTCTTAATGATATTTGCTTGACTGATATAATCTTGTTCATTCGTACAATTTCGTTGGATCTGTAAAAACTGACCCTTTGGGGCATTTTCTAACCAGGGTTTATGATGGCAACTCTTTTTTTCTATGTATCCGTTGGCGTCTACTGGTTTGAAAAAGTTTTTGGTTTTAATTTGATGGTTCTCAATAAAAATTTGAAGGTCCAAAAAATTGATACTAGTAGGGCTATGTGTGGTAGTGAGAACAATACCCCATTCGTTAGTAGACAGACAAGCTAAAAACATGTGTAAAAGGTCTATCGTGCCATTCCAGATTAAAAAGATATCGTCTATATATCGTCGATAGGTCACCAAATTCAACACCCAGGGATGCTCTGAAAACACAAAAATCTCTTCCCAATACGCCATAAATAGATTAGCATAACTGGGCGTGAATTTGGTGCCCATCGCTGTACCTCTGGTCTAAAGGTAAAAAGTGTTTTGGAACCAAAAAAAATTATTTGTTAAAATAAGGTGTAAGGAGCTATCTGGGGATATGTTACATGTCTGTGTTTTATGTAATAAATGTTACTTTATGTATTTTAAAGTATAATACTGGTTTTGTATCCCCACATGTGTAATGGAGTTTTGCCTTTGTCTTGGGAGATAATTTAATTACTTCCCAATTAACTCCCAGGGCAGAGGGGAGGAAGCCAGGATGCATTGTGGGAATATATTGTGACTGTGTGTCCTATTTGTCTACTTGTCTGTCTTTTGTCACAGTCTCCCATTTGGTCCCCTAGGGGAGTGTCCACCAGGTTGGAGACCTTCATAAATACTGGGCAGGTAGCCCTCATTAAACAGACCACTGCTTGACCCTCAACACGGAGCCTTGTCTCGTCTTTGGGGGGATTTACTGTATGCTGCTAAGGACTGATTGCCAGGTGTGTAAGCCGCTTGGGAGCTTTTCCTGTTCGTCTGGTAGCAGCAATTCGTATGGTTCCTGTTCGTGTATTTGGAGTGCTACCTTATTCCCTTCTATGCCGTTCGGGTGTTTGGAGCATTCCCTTGTATGCAGTTCGGGTGTTTGGAGCATTCCCTTGTATGCAGTTCGGGTGTTTGGAGCATTCCCTTGTATGCAGTTCGGGTGTTTGGAGCGTTCCCTTGTGTAATGGTATTTATTAATTAATGACTTTTTGTCATAAAAAATGCATAATGAGCTTAATGCTTTAGACGCACCACTAGATGTCAGTAAAGCATATTTAGTGTAATGCTTTGGGGGCACCACTAGGGGGAGTGTGTAGGAAGAGCTGTGCTTCTGGCAGTGACATCACAGGCCAGCCTACTTACACTGAATAAAACCCAGATGTTAGGAGAAGCTAGCTCTGTTTGCCTGTACCTGACTGATCATGTAGTACCAGCTCTGACTTAGCCCCAGCCCTTTGGCTGGGGCCTTGTAAGTAATATGTTTGTATTGTAACAGTTAGCAATTGTAATAGCCTTTTGTATAATATATAGCAACCAATAGTGTTTTGTGTAGTATTGTATTGTATAATTATTGAAATTGACATTCCGCTAGCATCTGTTTATTTATTATAGTTATATTAAATATACATTTAATATTACAACGTTTTGTGTATTTTCTATCCACATATTCGACCATAATACCATGAATTATAAAAATATTAATGTTGTTCCGTATTGCTTAATTATTAAGAGATTAATATTCATATTTAGGTCACGACCACAACACCTTGTATGCAGTTCGGGTGTTTGGAGCGTTCCCTTGTATGCAGTTCGGGTGTTTGGTGCATTCACTTTTATTCAATTCGTGAGTTTTGGTGATTCTACAGTAGCTGTGCCTGTCTCTGAAAGGGGATTATCGTCTAAGCGGTTTTTACCCCTTTTTTCCAAATGGTCCGTTACACCCTCTTAGTTACCCAACTGCCACATGTCTTGTGAAACAGCCGCAAACCTATAAAACATCCAGCAATGGGTGGCCAGGATTGGAACAGGTAACATGTTATGGGGATCAGAGGCAGACATTGAATATTTTGAAGACAGACTCAGACTTGTCAATGCATTAAAAGCCCTGGAACAACAAAACACTAACAGACGATGTTGTTATGGTGAGGCAATCAGCAGATCATTTAGATTTATGCCCTCAATTTCTGGTTTCTGGATTCATTGTCTGACAGGAAGAAAAAGATTTATGACTGCAAACTGTGCCTCTCTCACATCTCAAACATCATTATTCTCAGAATCAAAGCCCACGCTTGGCCTGGCTGTGTGCCGGCAGGTATACATTATTTATTGTACAGTATATTCACACACAACTTATATATTCACCCACTCAGTATCCCCAATCACATATATCTTTCAGGGCATAAGAAAGACACTTTAGGCACCAAAACAATGTTATGGATGAAGTGGCTCTGCTGGATATCATTCTCATAGTCACTGCAAGCGTGGTTTGGGGCAATGTCAACATTTACATGGTTATTTACTAAGGTGAGCATCCCAAGTGAATTTCAGATTTAAGGGCAGAGTAGTCGAACGCATCACTAACTGAATTGTTCAAATATTTTGTCCTTAATTTTAAAATTCACTTTGAAATCACTTTGAATTGTCACTTCAGTGAAGAACTTTGATTATATGACAAAAGGGACAGCGAGTATTAAAACATGGTGGTTTTGGTTTAATATCCCTCTCCACAGGGATAGCAGGACTAGCTTGTTGCTGCCTTAACTATTTAAGGACCAAATTCTCCTTTAAAGACCTTTATTAAAGATTAATGTGGCACTCATTTACAGGTAGAGCTCCTGAATACAGCG